ATTATGCGTGGGGAGCATTTGACAAGAGACCAAAATTATTCATTGTAAGATCAAAGATGAACTGAAGGCAAGGATTATGGTAGCATTCATTAATTTAAACAAGGAGACCGTCTAGAAGAGTTGCAGGAGATTCCGAAGTCGCCTGGAGACTATGGTTGAAACCAAAGGCGATTTTATTGAATAAATTTAATTTGTAGTATTTCAAAATATATTTGAGCAATTTTGGTAAATACAGTGTAACCTGGATATAAGAGACCCGGATATAAGAGAAACTCGGACATAAGGGAGGTTTTCTCTGGTCCCAAATTAGAGCCTGTGTTAATGTATATAAAATAGACCAAACCCGGATATAAGAGAAACCCGGATATAAGAGACTTCTTCTCCGGTCCGGACAACTCTCTTACATCCGGGTTACACTGTATATATGTCATTGTTGCGTCATTTAAACAAAAATTTATCCATCGCACTCCGGAGATAGGTGACAGCTTGAGAATACCCGGTGCTGTAAGCTTGAACGTTCGGGTTGTATATGCGCTTACGGCCATATCGCGTTGCAAAACCACATATTACCCCAGCTTACAAAAGTAACTTATTTATGGGGAAAGGAACATACCCATTAGTGTTCATTGGTATGTTATATAACACTTATATATTTACAATCAATTTTATCCATACAACTTGTGAAAGTACGTGTGGTACCCTACCCTCGTCAACCCCAAAGCCAGGGGAGGTAAAACAGTTTCGGTGGCTAAGGCTGTACTGCCACCCCTGACGCCACCAGCAGCTTTAGCCGCCGGACAGGGTATTGTTTTTTGAGTAGACGTGTGAGTCTCTGCGATTTCTTATGCAACTGCCAGTCAGTGTTTCAACGTTATGTTAAACGTTTTTGATCGCTAAACAAATGACAACGCAGTCGTAGCGACCGTTATCAATGACGTAGAACGCAAGGCAAACAGAAGTATTTCGCGTCAGATGTAGCATTGTACTGCGATCATGATTTTAATTAATGCTGTTTATCGTGGATCTTGACCAGATCCAATCGATGCCCGTTGAACTGTGGTCTGGAGACGATTTGACGAACTCTTCAGGCAAATAGGAAACTTTCATAAATTTAAAATGTTTCGCTTTTATTTACGATTCATCAGAAAATGAAATGTCTTTATAAATATTTCCTATTTTTCGCTTATCCTATTATTATGTCAGTTTTTAATCCATTATTGATCTACATTTGCCCAGAATTTTTATGGGCTTTTGAAGGTGACGTAATGTATTCTTTAAAAAGGCAGACTTTTCGTCCAACACTTCTCCAGAAAGATTGGTTGGAACAACTATAATCAAAACAGCGAAACTGAAAACTAACTAAATAAAGTTAAATGAGAAGCCACGACTAAAATAAATTTATTGCTAAAAACAAACAAATCGCTGGAAATAAATTACTACCGAATGCTCTTGAGGAGGTATTGGACAAAAAAGGTCACTTTAAAAGAATGTGTTCCGTCATTTTCAAAATATATATATATATATATATATATATATATATATATATATATATATATATGTGTGTGTGTGTGTGTGTGTGTGTAATTTATATATATTATTTATATTTCTTATTTTCCAGAGATATTCCATGTCTTTTTATTTCAACCTCATCCCACAGGGAACGGAGATCTCTTTTTACACACACACACACACACACACACACACACACACACACACACACACACACACACACATATATATATATATATATATATATATATATATATATATATGCATGTTTTGTGTGTGTGTGGACTTATTGGAAAGCGGTCAATATCAGTGATAAGGTCAACATACTTAGGTGTATGTATTTGAATTTGTAACCCTAGATTCTAAGGAATGCATAAGCGTGAAACCTAAACACAAATTCATCCATAACTATATATATATATATATATATATATATATATATATATATATATATATATATATGTATGTATATATATGTGCGCGCGTGTGTGTGTGTACGTACGTGTACAGTGTGTGTGTACACATAATGGGACAAAGTGAAACTTAAAACGCGTTTAGTCAACATGTGTTAGGGTTTAAGTGCCTTGTAAGGAAAGACCTAATTTTGAGCAAGGACAATGCGTTTGGATTTTTGAGGATAAGAGGGGTGATACATTAATTCATCTCATCAAATATTGATTAATTGATTGGTTGCTTTTTTTTTACGCTTTATCGATCTTTTTTCTAACTTATTCAAAACCAGTAAATATTTTTAGATGGTACGAACTTTTTCATGCGAAAATAATGAATTACTGATACAAATCCTATAAACTTAATACTTCAGTAATAATGTTTTTTTTTGTTTTTTTTAACAGACCTCATATTGCATTTTGCTGTTATTGTTTTTTTTTTTTTTTTAGCATTCTGTATTACTGGTTCCATATTGTATTCATGTCTATGTTTGGCCGGTTTAGGAAATTAAAGCGATCATTCTTTAGGTTTTCTTTTTTTCCAGAGATGTTCCATGTCTTTTATTTCAACCTCATCCCACAGGGAACGGAGATCTCCTTTTTCCCTACCCCCCCACACGCACACACATACATACATATATATATATATATATATATATATATATATATATATATACATGTTTGTGTGTGTGTGTGTCAACCTCTCTTTTCTCTAATAATAATGATCTACTTTTCAACACTGAATGCAACGTCGGCCCATACTCTTAAATAGCCTCGTCATATCGAGACTTTTATATAGATGTCATGTATGACGCTAAACTTGTTCAAACACAAGATTAGGCAAGGGTACCCCCATCAATACTGGAAATCGTGGTAACAGATGACGGGCTTTAAAAACTTATTTTCCTCAAAAAGTCTTTTAAGAGAAACCTTTTTTTTTTTAAATGAATTTCAATCGCTGTTTGCTCAAAGAATACCGAATGTTTTCTTATAAGGAAACGGCTAATACCAGCGTTGGCATCACGAATACAGGTATCTGAAAACTGACACTTACATTGTTAATA